ATTTTTGGTTAGCGTTATAAAAAATAATTGTCCAATATTCCAAATATTCCTAATATTATTAGTACCAAATAAGTCCAAATGTTAGATATAGGATTATACAGAGGTTTAAATCAGAAAAATATTGATGAATAAGTTTCTTATAAAGAAACCCGTTCAAATAACAAAATATATTGTGCACAATTTGTACCTTATCATCGCTATAAATTTAAGTAAAACAATAGGTAACTCTTGCAAAAATACAAAGTAGGTCCAACTAAAACTATGTTTAATATGAGGGTACAAAACTCTAGTAGGACTGACTTAATATAAACTTTGGTGGGCATAACTGCTATAGCATTACGACAATTTCTGTCAATTGAGAACCACTTTGTACTGATATGATTGGATGATCGGAATGCCGTAAAATTGTACCTAACCTTTTCAGTGCGACGAGAAGAAATTGTCTTTTGCTACTTTTGATCCACCAAAGTAAAGCAAACACACCATGACTAAACCAATACCTTTTTAATCATCGCATCGATACTAAAACCTGAATAGACTGAAATAACTGTTGAATTTAAATGGTAAAAGAATGTCATTAAGTTCAATTATTATTAAATGTTATTCTAATATTATATTATGTTTTTTTGTGTCAATAATACAATCAGTCGGTATAATTTAGGGAACAAAATTATTAACAGTATACACAACCCAAAAATGCTATAACAGTGCATAATAAAACAGAATAGGTATTCATAGATTTACAAACTCAGATAATGTGCTGTGTTAACTCTGTTAACTCACTAAAGTGGGTATGAAACACAACAAGTGCCTAATACAAGTTCAATTAGACATTATGTGGTTACCGTAGATAGTATTGATATGGTTTACACAGAAGCGGAACAGCAATATTGTATTCAACTTTTAAAGACGCTCATAAACAATCATAAAAAAGTCTTTAATGGTTTATTTGGTTAAGATGGAAGGTAATACAATTCATTTTGTACAATTTGAGGAAACTGTAAAATCTGTGTAATTACTGAAATCAGTGGAAAGAATCTCGGGCAAGAATAGGATCACGGAACGTTCCTCCTGTCGTAAGAGGCGACAAAAGTAACCACCTGACGCAGGGTAGCAGCTACATCAGTATCGAGCTAAGGCGGAAAATGAATGACATTGGAACAGCTTAGTCTTGAAGAAATGCAAGCAGAGCTGAGTACAACGATATGGTTGCATCACTGCGATGTGAAAGGAGACGGAAGACCTACCACATTATTAATTATTCCTAGTAAAAAATAAATGCAAAATCTGAGGCAATGGTTTGATTACAACAACAACCAAATATTCAAGGCAGCCCAATAGAAAATCCAGATTAATATGATGATTTCAAACCTCCGTTAGGAGAGGAATTCCAAGAAGAAGAATGTGAAATTAAATTAAAAGGTGGTTCAATATAAGAGTGGAGTCAGAGGAAAAATAAATGTTCGATAAAATCCAAAAACAAACGATGCCGCAAAAAACAAAAACAAACAGTGCGTTGAAAATAAAAACAATCAGTACAGAGGCAGTTGTTGAAGCACTTATTTTCCAAATATTCCTAATATTATTTGTACCAAATAATTAAAAATTAAAATTATATCATTATCCAGTGCATTAAATCAGAAAATTATTGATAAATAAGTTTCTTATAAAGAAACCCCTTCAAATAACAAACTATATTGGGCACAATATTTACAGTGTGATCGCTATAAATTTAAGTTAATCAGTAACTCTTCCAAAAAGAAAAAGTTGGTCCAAATAAACTTATGGTTATTATAAGGGTACAAAACATTTCTAGTGGGCCTGGCTTAATAAAAACTTGGTCCAACAAAAAGTTTGGTTATTATAGGGATTAGGGGTAAAACAAAATTTGTAAACGAAATAACTAAATAAAAAGTTATTCCTGTAAACATTTAGTTGGCCCAATTATTTATTCAGTTCCCCCAATTAGGTATTTGTCATGTCCCTTTTTTATTCCTTAGTTTAAGTCTATTTTTATTTAACTAATTTTAATTGTTAATTTTTTTTTTTTTTTACATTTGCAATTAATTAATTTGGAACACATTATGTGTGAAATAAATTATAAAGGGATATAATATAAATTATTTAAAAAATGTTATTTATACTATATTGATACAGTTTTATTAAAGTATGAAGCAGAAGGAAATGTTATTTGTAAGAAAACAAGACGTTCTAAAGAATTTGACAGCATTACATAGATCTTCCTACCGTCAAAAATACAGTGAAATCAAAATCAACCTGCTGGTCTTGTGCGTCAACTGATGAGCATAATATTACACATTTTAGTTAAAAAGGGTACAAAACATTTCTAGTTGGACTGGCCTAATAAAAACTGGGTCCACCTAAAGTTTGGCTATTATAGGGATTAGCGTATAACAAAAATTTGTAAACAAAATAACTCAATAAAAAATTGTTCCTGTAAATATTTAGTTGGGCCAATTTATTGTTTATTTAGTTCATCCAATTGTAAATTTATCGTGTCCCTATATTAAACCATTGTAAAAGTTGGAGCATTGTTTTTAAAAACTTTTACAATCAATTCAGTTGGATAACATTATGTGTAGTATAAAATATAAAGGGATATAATATACATTGTTTAACAAATGTAATTTTCATTATATTGATACAGTTTTGTTAAAGTATGAAGCAGAAGGAAATGTTATTTGTATGAAAACAAGACGTTCTAAAGAATTTGACAGCATAACATAGATCTTCCTACCGTCAAAAATACAGTGAAATCAAAAGCACCTGCTGGTCTTGTGCGTCAACTGATGAGCATAATATTACACATTTTAATTAAAAACGGGCGGCGTTCTAACTACATTATCAAATAACACCAGTGCCGGGCAGCCGGCACTTCCCAGTTGTATCGACTCAGGTAGTCGATAACGATGCCTAATCGCACGAGCAGAAAAAACGACAAAACGTATCGCCTATTGTTATACGCAATAATCAAATAATAAATAATGTTAGAATTATAATATTCTTAATAATTTAAGAATCCGAGTGGCAAACACCCAAACAATAAACAATCAAAGAGACCGCTTTCTACATCGTCCCTCTCACCGAAATCACCTTTAACTAAAAAAAAATCAAAATTATTCGTATCATCTAACCGCTCCTCACCACTTCATACAGCAGATAAAATGTTTGTACCTGATAACCAAATTAATGTAACGCAAAATAATATAAACAACAACGATGATAACGCGCCGATACCTCTTCCACCGCCAATCTTCATCAAAGGTGTACTTAACTACTTGGACCTTATTAATGAGTTCAATGCGCAAATTGGCCCCGAAAATTACTCATGTAAATCGTCCATTAATAGTTTAAAACTGCAAACAAAAACTCCCGACTCATATCGAACAATTATTTGACTCTTAAAAAGCGAAGGCGCCGAGTACCACACGTGTAGCAACCCTGTAGCCCTGTATGTATGTATTGCAGGCTGTTTGAGTGTTGTTACAATCGTGGTGATAGGTTTTTAGATATTTAATAGAATAACTTCAGAGTAAATCACAAACATTTAATTTAATATACTTATAAAACATGTACAACGACAAACAGTTAATAGCATAAGTTCAGTATGCTTCAAAAATATGATGATTAAGACAATTATAAGCCGCTTAAGACTTCAAAAGAAGATGATAGGTAGAAACTTCAAGTGTAGTGTATGGTGGTCCCAGCACATCTGCCCTGCTATGACTGAAGTTCTCCCTTATATGTTGGTCCGCTCGCTGAATGGCCGTGGGAATCCTCGCAATTATCGAAAGTCCGCGTATGGATGACCTCGCTCGTCCATGGCATCCGCTTATGTCAACGGTGGAGGAAGGGTAGAGGCATGAGAGTGCAGCCTTCGCATGGTCGAAATTGGCTAGCTTCGATGTGAGATTCGCACGGTAGTTGCCAAAACGTTAAGTTTCTCTTAGTGGTTGGCCTCGTGTTTGAGGTCAACTGTGAACAGAATTGCAAGTTGTCTGCTTTCGCAAGATGCTGTAATGACCTTTTGGGTCTGATGTGAAATCGGCACGTGTGGTACATAATAATGAGAAGTTATATAACATAATATATAGATATATGTATATGTTAGTCCTGATAAGTTGTATAATGTAATAAATATATATATGTATCTATTAGCCCTGATAAGGGTGGGTCCGTTACATCTCCATCGTTTTTTTTTTAGTTTTTTGGACGTAGTACAAAAAACTTCATTAAAGGTTACAATTTGCTTGGGATAGTTACATAAAGTGTTGTGTTACATGATTAAATTCATAATAGAATGTATAAAGTTTAAAATACTTCGTGTTCTTAACTAATTTGCTTAAGAGGTTAATAATGGTTAGTTAACAATATATATTAATGTGGTTTCCTTTAGAACAATAAAAAGGTGGTTAGTACTTATAATATATTAGATTAATTAGAACATTTTTTTTTTTTTTCGCATGTGCGCTTATTTACATACATTAAATTATCCTTATTCTAATGGTAGTAAGACCCAGTACGTTAAAACTTAATTGAATCTTAACTAAATGGTTTATTACCGGACGGGAGAAATGTAGTAGTGATAGCTTATAATTTGAGTTACTGTTTAGAATAAATACTACAATAGAGGATTATGTATATCTATATATATTCTTTTTTTTTTTTTCTTATCTCTACAAATCTCAGGGCATATGATGTTTCCAGCCCCTAATAGAACGTGTGGTTCTGGGAAGTAACGTATCTGCGGCCCGGTTGTGAAGAGATCGACTGGCGTCGTTCTCCTAGGGCGTGTAGACACGCGTCTAACTCGCACTCATCATCGTCCCCTATGCCAATGTATAGGCTTAAGGCCCTGGTTGTATCATATGGCCCTTAAAATATATATATATATAAAAATGATTCTTATTAGTGAATTTTTTAATCTAACTGCTAAACTAAATTTCTACTTTTACTTTCAGTTAATATATTATAAAATGTTAATTTACTCCTCTTAATTCTACTCCTTCTTCCTCTCCTGGAGTATATACAATTTGACGTCGCGGTTGACGTAAAGAATTCCGATGGTTAATGTCATGTAGATAAATTATGGCAAGTATCATTAGTAAATTAATTGAACATATTATAAATAAGATATAGTTATAATAAAAATGTTTGTTTGGTGCTTGCAACAGATTTTGTTGAAGCTGCAACTGAGAGAGGGTTTTTCCCGTATTTAAAAAATCAGTTATGGACCTTATTGGTGATTGAAAAGGATCAAGGATTTGATCAGCTAAAGCAGAAGTCAAAATGCTTGCTTCTTTTATTGTTACATTTGCTATGTAGTTACCATAGTTATCTTGTTCGTTAGTTGGAGTGCTTGGAATTAATACATGATCGGCACCATAAGCCTTGCAAGTTTCGTTAAGAGTTAAAATACCAGTACCCATTATATCAATGAGTGCTAGGGACTTGTTGGTGCTGTTACTGCAGGTAATAAGTATTGACTCCCCGTTTGAAATGAAATACCATTTATTTTGATGTGTTAACTTATAGAACACCGTAGTACCTAATTGGTTGAATGTTATATCACAGACAGCTGGTGCTGTGTCTAACTCTTGGAATAATAAGGCTTCGCATAAGGGTTTATTTGAGGTTAGATGTAATGGATAAATTTCCGGACATAATCTAAATTCGTCGGTTTGTTGGCATTCTACTTGATCAATTCTTTCGAAAGTGGAATATAGCTTTCGTGAGGCTGTCATAGCTATGTAATGGAATTTGGGCTTGATAAAAACACAATTATGGTTAATACAAACAGGATGAGGTAATATATGAAATACATCTAAGGTTTCATCATATGTTAACGGAATTCCTATTTTTAGTACAACTCGGTCGTTAGAATAATATATAGCTAGTTTGGATACCTTTAGTAATTTAGGTATATTTCGTAGTGATAAGGCGTAAGGTAATTCGGTGTTTGGATCAAATTGATCTGTAATGGACTTAAGTTGTTCTAGAATTGCCTCGTCATTAATCAGACTAGGGTGTATATAACCTAACCTAGCGCTTTGGAGTATTTCAAAAAGAGTGTTCGCTTCTAGTGAAAATTGATTAAGTAATGCGTTTAGAGCTAAAGCGTTGTCTATTCGAACGCGATCCAAATCTCCTATTGTGTTATTTTGGTCATATGCGGATATCATTTCCAAAGTATCGACAGACGGCTGCTTAGAAGTAATGTTAGGAAGGCCAAGGACCTTTGTTAGAATTGGTAGAACCGAATGTTCACCTGATAATGCCTTGTCTATTATTTTATCTGAATTTTGTATACATAGCTCACTGCATAATCCGAATAGTAGGCGAGCTGCCTTGCTTAATAATTTAAAAGGAATTCCCCGCTTTGAACGACTAGGTTCAATAGTTCTGAAGATTAAATCAGTTTTATTTACAATGCTAGATAAAGAAACCCTTGCTTGTGTGTTTAAAGTTACACAATGATCGTGAATAGAATTAATATAGCTTTCATTAATTGATGCTAATTGAGGGGAAAATGATTTAGTAAAGTGTTCACAATATTCGTATGATGCATTAACCCTTGCCTCTAGTAGTTGGGCATTCTGATTGTACTGACTTAAGTCTAAATAAGTCAATAGAGTAACTTCCTTGGTTTGAACCTTAAGAGAATCAAGTTTTTCATAGTATAACCCGCTTTGGGTATCGGATAATGTGTCAACGTGGTACCGAAAATCCGCGCAGACTGTTCGAAGTATACACATTCCTATGACCCTGAAATGTTGTATTTCGTATTAGAATATATCTTAACAACCCGCATAGCAATTTGTTGCTATATTTGTTTTCTATTTATCCAAGTGATTGAAAAAAGTGGTTTAACAGTATTTTAAATTTTAAATCTTTAGCTTTTTAAAGAAAGAAAAGAAAACTATCATTTTATTTTAAAAGTAATTAAAATAACATAATATCTTAGTTTATTATAACATATGACAGACATAATAATATTATTTCGTATCGCGTGTCGCCGATACGTGTCTTCGTTCGTATATGATTATAATACGGGGTTTGGTTGATAAATATCAACGAGTCGATTATCCGAGTAGAATTAAATATACTAATATCGTTTGTACGGTGTAAAATAATGTTGTGTTATACTATACGTACGGTATAGTATAGGCACTGAAAGGTAATATATTTTTTTTTTTTTTTTTTTTACGTGACATACTTCAAATTCATCTAAGTTGTCATAATTTAATTCGTTTATCTGCGAGAAACTAAACGGTTTTGTTGCGTTTCATTTATATTTATTGGCAAAACGCCATCCTTTATTATACTAGTTATGTTAGCGCTGGTAAATCACCAGGTGTAAATTGTAATTTATTCACTAAAATACGTGTGTCTTCCGATAATGGATTTATGATTATATAATTTACTGATGTCGTTCATGTCGAAATTATCATGCTAAACTTGCTACTTAATTCGCGAGCCAATAAAATTTTTTTTTTTTTTTTATTACATACAGGTATGGTTTCACTTTTTATCTCACGATTCGCGTTAATAATTTGTTCACGTCGGTTAACCAGTTCAATTTTTTTTTTTTAAATCAATTTAATTTCGATAGCTGGATCTATTTCGATAGAATTTGCAGCGTCGTGTTTTTCAATTATATTACTCGCGTTAATTAATAAATTTGTGTTTTCGATAGATTTATCATTAGTATTCATTTTATCACGCTTTTTTACCGCGCTACTATAAAGCATTTTACTCGGTTTCATCGAAATATTTCTATCATTACTATGTAATTTAATCGCGTTATTCTCTGATATCCTGCTATCTATTTTTTTTTTTTTTTTTTTTTTAACCTCATGGCTATAATCGAAATCATTATTATCATTAATTATATTAGCGGTTTCAACCGTACCGGGATTAATGTTTAACTTACATGTTACCGTTTTTATCGATAGTCTTTTTTTTTTTTTTGAAACGTTCAAAGATTCGTTACTTTTTATAATTTTTCCAACTTCTTTATTAGAATTCGCGTCATTTTTAGTTTTTAGTGGAAATTCAACGAATTAGGTTGATCTTTCCACGCTTAATTTATCATAACCTTGTATATTTAATTTATCTTTATCATTATCAACATGCAGTAGGATTCTGCTCAAATTATTTTTTATATCAACATGCAGTAGGATTCTGCTCAAATTATTTTTTATATCAACATGCAGTAGGATTCTGCTAAATTTATTTTTTATATCATTGTTTAATACCGGAGTTAACGTCTTTATGTCCGTGTTACCGTAACTAAGGACTGTCCCTTCAAGACATCCTGATTATCATTTTTATCGTTAATTTAGTTCACTGGAGTTAACGTTTGAATTACGTGTTACCGCGATTAAGGACTGTTTCCGTGAAACATCCACATTAGCATTTTTATTGAAAGTATAGACTACCGGACTTAATGTTTAAAATTCATGTTACCGTGTCTTGGGGACTGTTTCCGTGAAACACCCAATTTAATATTTTTATCGTTTAGTGCCATGTTCAACACCTTTCCTATTAATGGACTTATAATTTTATGATTATCTCAATCGAGTATACCTAAAATTTATCCAATGGATTGGGTTTTTTATGTTCTGTTAGAAATTGCCTTTTAATAAAATCTGTCATAAGTGTAAGGATGCTATTTGCCCATCCGTTCTAACTTAGCAGTAAAAATAAATTTTTTAGAATATTAATTTGTTTAGCGTTCTAATACAAATTCTTTTCAATATCAATACTAAACTACGATTCAAATTTTATTTATTTAAATAGCCTAACAAAGTACTCTGGAAAATTGGTTAGGATTGGTTAAAAAGAAAAGTGATCAGTTTCTCGTTCTAACATCCTTGTGTTAATCAATTCCAAGCCTAACAAAATATATATATTGTGTATGTATATAAATATTTTCATAAAATTGGTATAGCAAAGTGGGAAAATAAAAGCATGAATAGATCCGCAGATCGGTAAGCTTCCTTTTAAGCATAAAAAGTGGCCCTTTTTAGGCGTTTAATAAATAAGTAATATTCAACTCGAGTCGGCAACTCTAACAGAATGGCGAACATATTATATTTATCTATATATCTATTTTTTTTTTTATACGCTACATATTATTTAAACTATTATTAAATATATATGTATTATAAAGAACAGTATTTTACTTATTAACTTATAATTTAAATTTTTTTTTTTTTTCTATAGGCAACACCCAGAAACTCGCCAAGATTGCCATATTCATAGTTATTTATTTACTTCTAAATTCGTATATATATATTTTTTTTTTCTAAATGAAAGTTACTTGGTTATAAGTCATTAACCACAATTGATTTAATTATTTAGGTAATAATAATGATTTTGACATTAACAATAGTTAAGTTAATTTATAATATAGGTATTACTGAGACGTATATGAACTTTTGATTCGATTTATGGTCTATCAATCTGGTCAAGGTGTTTCTAGGTGTTATTTCTCTTTAAGTGATAAGCATTTTTTTTTTCTTTCTATCACTGGAAATGCGCCGATTGGCGATTCAGCGATCTCTCTTTAAAAATGATGCCTGTACCGTTGCAATCATTACATATAGCTGGACGAGTTCGAACAGAAGTTTGATAATTTCTATTATTATTATTTGTATTAATACTATATTTCATACGTGATTTACAAAAAAGGAAATATGGCCAAGCCTATTACAAATCCAACAGCGTGTGTTTGCATACTTGTTAATGTTAACATTACTACGGTCAATAATGTTAGAAACAGTCTTAGGTGATTGAGATTTTTGTTTAGGTTCCCTTACACTAGATTTGCTAACATTACGTTGTGAATTATAACATCTATCTATTTCTTTTTCTATTGATTCAACTGACCTCCCCTTAACATCCTTATCTACTACATCGTTACAATCATTTCCTATGTCATTGTTTCCTATTTTAATTAGTTCAGGGGATTCTATAATTTCTGATTCAAAAAATCCTTCATTACTACTTTCATTACTATCGCTTTTGGTCAGGTCCATTAATTGGTCTATAACTTGATTTCCTAAAGTATCTTTTGATTCCATTTTTTTTTATTTTTTAAATTTTGGGAGATGACTGGGCCTACCTACACTTAAGATTATCACTTATATAAAACAAAAATTCTTAACTTAGCTTAATACAATTTAAGTTCCTTATCTACTTACAAAAGAGCGTTCATATTTGAATGGTTCTTCCAAAAACGTCGATTTCAACGAAGTGCTTCAATTAACTTGTCCCTTCCAGTTGAAATCAGTTGGACTTGATGTCGTTACCGTCTTTGAACGATCCTACCGACTGCGCCAATGTAGCAACCCTGTAGCCCTGTATGTATGTATTGCAGGCTGTTTGAGTGTTGTTACAATCGTGGTGATAGGTTTTTAGATATTTAATAGAATAACTTCAGAGTAAATCACAAACATTTAATTTAATATACTTATAAAACATGTACAACGACAAACAGTTAATAGCATAAGTTCAGTATGCTTCAAAAATATGATGATTAAGACAATTATAAGCCGCTTAAGACTTCAAAAGAAGATGATAGGTAGAAACTTCAAGTGTAGTGTATGGTGGTCCCAGCACATCTGCCCTGCTATGACTGAAGTTCTCCCTTATATGTTGGTCCGCTCGCTGAATGGCCGTGGGAATCCTCGCAATTATCGAAAGTCCGCGTATGGATGACCTCGCTCGTCCATGGCATCCGCTTATGTCAACGGTGGAGGAAGGGTAGAGGCATGAGAGTGCAGCCTTCGCATGGTCGAAATTGGCTAGCTTCGATGTGAGATTCGCACGGTAGTTGCCAAAACGTTAAGTTTCTCTTAGTGGTTGGCCTCGTGTTTGAGGTCAACTGTGAACAGAATTGCAAGTTGTCTGCTTTCGCAAGATGCTGTAATGACCTTTTGGGTCTGATGTGAAATCGGCACGTGTGGTACATAATAATGAGAAGTTATATAACATAATATATAGATATATGTATATGTTAGTCCTGATAAGTTGTATAATGTAATAAATATATATATGTATCTATTAGCCCTGATAAGGGTGGGTCCGTTACACACGTACCAAATGAAAACCGAAAAGCCATTTAGAGTTGTAGTACGTTATCTCCATCCTACAACTCCTTGTAGTGAAATAAAATCTGAGTTAGAAAATTTCAATTTTTCTGTACTACAAGTTGTCAATGTACTTCAACGACAAACAAAAACACCTTTACCTCTCTTCTTTGTCGACTTGGAAAAAGTTGAAAATTATCAATCGATTTTCGACTTCTCATCTATACTTCACACTAAAATAAAAGTTGAAGAACCACACAAACGCCGCGACCTAGTCCAGTGTCAATACTGTCAGGAATACGGCTCTACTCACTCTTACTGCCACTATGCCCCACGCTGCGTCCGCTGTGGTCAAAACCATCGTTTAAAATATTGCACCAAACCAATCGATACACCACCAACATGTGCACTGTGCCAAGGACAACATCCTGCTAACTATAGAGGCTGCCTAATTCACAAGCAGCTACAACGGAACCGCCAGTCATCTTCAAAACACCCCCCTGTATTTGTAAACCATATTAAATCCCAAACCGATCCACTGACGACAACTGAAATGCCCCAGTATTCAAATAACCAGCCCAAATACTCGTACACTCAGGCCAATTCCGACAAAAATCAAAAACCTCTCCCTCTCAATGAAAAACAACCAATAGACTTCTCCTTAACATTGAACAACTTCATATCAGACTTCAAATCAATAATAAATCAACTTATAACTCTCCTTACAACAGTTCTCACACGCCTTATTGAAAACAATAATGCCAAATAATACTTTTACATCAAACTCTATTGTAATCCTCCTCTGGAATCCTAACGGAATCCTGAATCACACAAATGACCTAACCGCGGTACTGCACGAAAAAAGAGTTGATATAGCTCTTATATCTGAGTCCCACATAACCTCCAGAACAAAGTTAAATATCCCCGGTTATCACCTTATTACATCCCATCACCCCGACAACACTGCACGTGCAGGTTCCGCAATCCTCGTCCACACACATTTAAAATTTTACTCCCTACCCAGTTACAGCAAAGATTACTTACAATCCTGTGCAATAAACATAACTTTAAATCATACCCCAATAACAATAGCAGCTACTTACTGTCCACCTAAACATAAAATAACAACCGACCAATTCAAACAATATTTTAACTCTCTTGGTAACAAATGTATAGTAGGAGGCGACATAAATGCAAAACATACTAATTGAGGCTGCAGAACAAGCAACCCCCGTAGTAGAAACCGCTTTCAGCTCACCTCCTCTGAACACTACAAAACATTTGCTTTCTCCGATCCGACCTACTGACCCACCTCCCCGAGGAAACGTCCAGACATCCTTGATATCTTCGTTACAAAAAGTCCAAACAATCTATTTCATCATATTGAAAATTGTAATGACTTATGTTCAGATCACTCTTCTGTTCTTTTAACCCTAAACTCTACACCTCCTACTCGCTCCACGACTCCCACTCTAGCAAACAGAACAACTAACTGGGTAAAGTTTCAGGACGTATTAACTAATACCACTAAACTAAGCATAAAACTAAAAACTCCCGAAAATATAGATGATGCAGTTACAAATTTAACAAAAACATTACAGTCTGCTGCCTGGGCTTCTTCATTACCCAATCAAAACCAACCACCATTTTCTCTTAATCTCCCAGTCCATATTAGAACACTAATAACTGAAAAAAGACGGGCTAGAAATCTATGGCAGTCTACTCATTACCCTTCTGATAAAAGACGACTGAACACCCTAACTGCACACCTTAAAAGATTACTGGCAAACTTCAGAAGCGAGTCTTACTCAAACTATTTAGCTTCCCTTTCCGCGCATGACGGATCTCTATGGAAAGCCACCAAACAAGCCGTAAAAGACAAACCTACATTCCTTCCACTTAGAAATGAAGATGGTTCATGGGCCGCAAATGATTATGAAAAAGCAGAATTTTTCCAAAAACACTTAACAAATGTTTTTAAGCCCCACGAAACTGCAAACAATACTGAACTTCTTATTATCCCCACTCCAATTGACACTACCTCCAAAATCCTTTTCTCTAGCCGAAGTTAAACATTGCATATCTACATTTTCCACTAAAAAATATCCTGGTTTCGTCTTGATCACATACGAGGTCGCTAAGCATCTCCCCAAAAAAACACTTATTCTTCTCACATATATATTTAATTCCATACTTCACCTCTCATACTTTCCGCTGCAGTGGAAGCTCTCTGTAATAATAGTTGTTTTTCAAAACTGGTAAGCCACCGGAGCACCCCTCTTTAGACCTATACACCTATCAGTCTTCTACCTTTCTTTTTTAAAGTATTTGAAAAACTACTCCTAAAAAGAATTAAACCGATCATAGCTAAGACAAACATTATTCCAAACACGCAGTTTGGTATTCTTAACAGACATTCTACAATCCAACAAATAAATCGTTTAACAGATATAGTCACCTCATCACTTGAAAATAAACAATATTGCACTGCTGTTTTTTTTGGACGTTGCGCAAACATTCGACCGAGTATGGCATGATGGTCTTCTTTTTAAACTAAAACAAATTCTACCTCCATACTACTACTTACTCTTTCAATCTTACCTTGATGAACGATAATTTACAGTACGTTACCGCACAACTCTTTCAATCATATCTGAAATAAAAGCAGGGGTACCCCAAGGTGCTATTTCTGCTCCTCTTCTCTTCAACATATTTACATATGATCAACCTACCCATCTAAACACAACCGTAGCAGAATTTGACGACGATAAAGCAATCATTTCTGTTCATAATGACCCCCATACTGCTTCTCATTACTTGTAATCACACCTCAATAGTCTTCAAACCTGGTACAATGATTGGAAAATCAAAATTAATAAAACTAAATCCTGCCATATTACATTCACTCTCAAGCAAGGAATCTGCCCTCACGTTACTCTAAACGATGTTGTATAAAATTATTGTCCTAAACGATGTTCAAATACCCTCATCAAATACTATCAAATACCTTGGGGTACACTTTGATAAAAAACTAAACTGGGCACACCACTTAACTTACACTCCATTAAAATTAAACTAAACTTACGTCTTAACATTCTGAGAAGATTTCTTCATTCTAAATCGAAGTTGCCCCTTCACACAAAACTAACCATATATAAACTCTTACTTAAGCCGCGCTATGGACATATGGAGTTCAAACCTGGGGATCAGCTAAGAATTCGAATCGTAACAAAATATAAGTCTCACAAATTAAAACACTCCGTCTCATCACTAATTCACCACCTTATATATCAAACCATACTCTACACTTTGATTTACAAATAAAAACAATAAAACAAGTTGCCAAAGACTACTACAGACGATACCACAATTCTCTTCAAAATCACCCAAATCCCCTCGTAAATAATCTCACATTACCCTCAATGCCCAACAACCCACCAAAGAGACTTAAAAGGAAATGGTGCAGAGACCTTCTCACTATCAATTAATTAAAAACAAAGCAAATAAGAGTGTCGTTAGTGGACGGCTTCTCTTTTCATACTTTCAACGTCTATAATTTACCTGTCATCATATGTACTTATTATACTAAAATTGTATGGATCGAGTGTGTAAAATAAAGGAGGAAAAAAAAAACAGAACGTTCATGTGTATAAAAAAACACTAGGTAGCACCAAATAAATATTTTGCAAGCAAAAAAACAAATTTGGTTAGCGTTGTATAAAATTATTGTCCAATATTCCAAATATTTCTAACATTATTAGTACTAAATAAGTCAAAATGTTAAATATATTATTATACAGAACTTTAAATCAGAAAATTATTGATGTATAATTGGCTTATAAAAAACCACGTTCAAATATGGTTATTATATGGATTAGGGGTACAGTAAATTTGTAGTTGAAATAATTATAAATTTGTTCCTGTAAACATTTAGTTGGCCCAATTATTTATTCAGTTCCCCCAATTAGGTATTTGTCATGTCCCTTTTTTATTCCTTAGTTTAAGTCTATTTTTATACATTATAAAAAATGTAATGTATACCAAATTGATACAGTTTTATGTGTATAAAAAACACTAGCACCGAATAAATATTTCGCAAGCAAAAAAACAATTTTAGTATGCGTTGTAAAAAATAATTGTCCAAATTTCCAAATATTCGTAATATTATTAGTACCAAATAAGTGAAAACGTTAGATATATTATTATACAGAGCTTTAAATCAGATAATTATTGATGAATAAGTTTCTTAAAAAGAAATCCGTTCAAATAACAAAATATATTGTGCACAAGATTAACTCTTCCAAAAATACAATATTGGTCGAACTAAAATGATGGTTATTCTTAGGGTACAAAACATTTTTAGTTGGACTGACTTAATAAAAACAGGGTCCAACTAAAAGTTTTTGTCCTTTTTTAATAACACAGTTTAAGTCTGCCCATCTATGTATATTTTTCTGTATAGGAACATGGTATATAATTCAATAGTAAAAGTATATGATGTATACTATAATATGTTGAACCTAAACAAATAATTCAATAACAATAAGAAACTATTTTTATTTAACTAATTTCAATTGTTAATTTTTTTTTTTAACATTTGCAATTAATTAATTTGGAACACACTATGTGTGAAATAAATTATAAAGGGATATAATATAAATTATTTAAAAAATGTTATTTATACTATATTGATACAGTTTTATTAAAGTATGACGCAAAAGGCAATGTTATGTGTAAGAAATCAGAACGTGCATGTGAACAAAAAAACTCTAGCGCCAAATAAATATTTTGCAAGCAAAAAAACAATTTTTGGTTAGCGTTGTTAAAAATAATTGTACAAAATAAGTACAAAATAAGTCAAAATGTTAGATATATGTCAATAATAATTTATTTCTGTAAATATTTAGTTGGGCCAACTCAT